GAGAGAGAGAGAGAGAGAGAGAGAGAGAGGGATGTGCGTGTGTTTGACAAGGGGTTTAGGCGGGGGAGAGAGGGACGATGGTAAAAACAAACCTGTAGTATAGTGGTCTGATGTATCCTCTGGTTATTGACGTAGGTGTGGGCGTCTCTCGAACAGGGAGTTAGAGTGACGATATTCTCGGTGAAGGCTATGACGCAGTGTCTGGGCATGACCGTCGGGCCCGTGAGCGTCAAGGTCTGGGCCTGAACGGCTTGGGGCCCGATGGGCCTCTCCGAGCCGACTTCCGTGACATTGGGCTGGAGTCGATGTCGTACGCCGGCCCCACTGACGATGTCCGTGCCGTCGGGGTTGAGCTCCAAGAGGAAGGGCAGCCTCTCATCCTCGTACCTATGCTCGAGCTCGTTCCATTTTCCCGTTGGCTTTTTCTTACGTTTACGCGGAACGTAATCAGCTGGCCTTCGACGCACGTGGAACATTATGGATCCTGCAATTTCATAAAATGCCACTCGTATTTATTTGTCCCTTAGGTGCTGTTATAGGGTGTGAGTGTGTCCGAGTATATACGGATACATGGAATTGCGATTAATTGTTACAATACTAATGCACAAGAATTTGTGCGTAACATGATGGTTGCGACAATGTTTATGGCGATCGATCATACGTTGGTCAAAAAATGAAAAAAGAAAAAAAAACCAACCAACATTAGTAAATATGTCGAGAGTGATTGCCCAGACAATCATCGCCTTTACAGAAGAATCGATCGTTGAACAAATTGAAAAATCAAAGTCAATCGATATATTTTTTTTTTTATCTTAATAATATGACGAATATCCTGTAGTTTGTGCATATATTATTATCTACGCGTTAAGTTCAATTTAAGCGAGTTTTACGTAAATTTAGCTTTACGTAAATTATTTCAAGTATTTTGCGGTGGAACTTGGGAGAAATTGAGTATAGTGTGACTTTGAACAAAGTTACGTACACGTAAATCCCATATGTGTAGTGGTTAGCATATTTTATACAATTATAATCCTTATGCATTACAAGTTAATGCATATAAACTTATAGTAAGTTGAGACTTCAACATTATTTTAACTTTAACCTCTCTAGTTGCATTTACATTACATCGCTAGTGTACAAACACCATATTACAATCGATTTTTTGCTCTATAAGCGTTTTTCACTTTATATTAAAGCGAGATTGCAGGGAGAAATAAAAATAGTATCTTTAATATAGGAGAACTCAGTAGCAACAGATGTAAAACCAACGCTGAAAAAGCTTAAAGCATAACACAATTGAACATAAAACATTGAAAAATAAACACAGTATAATTATAAAATAATGAGTATTCTATATACGCAACGTGAACTACTCAAAATTAAGCAAGTAGACGTATTTATTTAAAAATAGAAAGTGAAACCTTTGAAATAAAATTTATGACTAAAGTAAATTCGTAATAATTATTTTAAATATCTAGTTACCTCTTTCACCTAACAATTAATCGCTGGAATTGAACATTCAATTCATCAACTTGAGCTATGATTTATATTCTATCGCGGGAAATAAAAATTTAGTAAATTTTTCTCGTTCGAAGGTGTTTCAGAGGATAGCAAAGTAGTACAGCTAATTAGGCGAGTTAAAACTCTTTGTTGAAGAGAATATAAACATTCATTTAAATTACAATCTTGCTTTTGCTTTTTTTCAATCGCAAGTCCAATCTCCTCCCTAATCCTTTCATTTTCAAATTTAAACTCTTGCTTTCTCATATAATATAATTAATACTTCATTGTGTAAACACTTTATTTACTCAGATAGAAAAGAGAAATTAATATAAATCAAACATTTACAGACGATTCTTTGCATTATTCACATTATCTTAGAATTCGTTTTACATGCTTAAGGACATAAATGCGGCTAAACCTTTAAACGTTAAAAAGATAGATAAATTTATTTGAAAAGCAAAAATAGAAATTGATAGGAAAAGTAGTCGGAAAATGTGAGCGTGAAAAATCAAAAGTCATTAAACGAATATCACAGAAATATTCCATATTTTATGTAGCGCGTATTCTTTGAATATCCTCGTATCATGTCTACCTCAAGGTATTTCTTCGTTCAATTAAATGCAAATATGCGTGACGTCCGCCAAACTATTCTTATAAGCAGCAAATAACTTTATAATGAAGTTTTAAAAAGATTCAATAGCTCTAAGGATTATACAGTGTGCATTTAAATAATTGCATTTCTAATTATAGTGCAGTAGAAATTTTCACACATAAATCAAGTCATCGCCGACTCTATTACACTCTATTAAACATATAATTGTAAAACAATGCCGGGCAAAATATTTGAAGTTTGCGCATTTGAATATTATAGTGAACAACGAGACGCTCGTTAAATTGCTGGATGGATAGCCCCGGCGATATATTTAAAATAGTTGATAAAGTACATAGATACGCCACTGCTGGCACACACAAGTGATTAAAAATAGATTTAATAGGATTTCAAGATCAAGTTGAAAGGGTAACACGCCGTGCGTTCGTCCGCAAAACTTCACAGTCACGCAAAACCAAAGGAGAAAGATCAAGCATTTTCTTCAAAGATCCGTCTTTTACAATTGCACTACTCGAATACTCACGATTCTTGGTGAAGAAGACCATCTCAAGCCGAGCCAACACTCGTCAAACAAGAGTTACGCAATATTCCTCACTTTTGTCTGTTTAGCGCTAATCGCGTGTCTCGAGAAACGGGCCGCTCCCGATACCAAGCCACAAACGCCAAGAACAATGGCCCAAGAGTCCCCGCGTTACCTCGTCCAGAAAATAAGCGCACGCACTTCTCTTTAGTTGCGCACGTAATCCAAAAGCGAGCGTTGCGCGCGCGACGACTTTCATTGAAATTAGAAAAGAAGGGACCGACAGGCTAAGTTTGCCCTGGCCGTCGACCTCTCGCCGCGTCGGTGGCGGCGGTGGCGGTGGCGGTGGCTGCGGTGGCTGCGGCGGCTACGGCGGCTAAGGCGGCTAAGGCGGCTAAGGCGGCTAAGGCGGCTAAGGCGGCTAAGGCGGCTACGACGGCTACGGCGACGATGGCGCGCTCACGCCAAAAAGAAAGTCAGTCCTTCCTCTCGCCCACGGTACTTTCGGGCACTTACGAGCGACTCGTAGCCATCCACTCGTCTTGCCGCTTCCTAGGCATTTTCCAACCGCGGGCAGCCTCCTCGCGGACGTAATCGCGCGTCCTCGCGAGCGAACGTGGGAATGAGTCGTGAAAGGCGGCGGCGCGCGGCAACCGAGCCGCCGAGAACGGAGGCGTTTTCCGAGCGCCGCCGCGACGAAAAAGCCCCGAGATACCCGGCCCAAGATACCCGGGTTAAAAGGGGAGCGCACACGCACGTGTGCGTGGCCAAGAACAAAGGCGCGCATACGGACAAGGCAAGCGTGACGACGCCGCGGCTCGTAGACACCGGTTTCTCACGCGTCTACGCTCCGTACGAGTCCCTCCTCCTACCTTCATCGCCCTCTTCTTCGCCACCACCACCTCCTCCTACTACTCCTCCTCAATCTACGACAACGACGCCGACGACGACGAGGTTTGTCGACTACGGCGTAGACGAGGCCCTTCCCTCGCTCATACTCACATTCGCGAACCCTCTTTTTCTCCTTTTAACGGCCCGCGAAGAGACAGCGCCAAAATGTCGACGAGGGCTCGGACAAGCCCGAGGGTGATTATATCGCCTACACGGATGTTCCCTAGGCGCGAGCGCCCTCGAGTGCACAGGGACTCAGATCTGAACTACGTGCCCTCGGGACCGATTGCTTTCTTCTTTTTCCTCGCACTTACCTCCTCCTCCTCCTCCTCCCAATCGCATTTCACCCCGATTTCACCCCGATTTCACCCCGATTTCATCCCCATTTCATCCCCATTTCATCCCCATTTCATCCACATTTCATGCCCATTTCATCCCCATTTCATCCCGCAACATTCGTTACGGTGTCGAGCTCCTTGCTGGGAATGCGCTTTGTCCTTGAATTGATTCAGCCTCGATAATTATAGCACGTCATTTCCAATGGGGTATTGGCAATTCTTCAGCATTCTTCGGGAGCTCGGTTTACTACGAAATATGTACTGCCCTCTTCCCCTGGAGCCCCTTGCTCATGGATATGCAGGTACTTTTTCAAAGGAGATCCTATCGTTATTGTGGCTTCTCCTCTCCCTCGCGCTGATTCCGTCGCCACTGCCGCCAATTAACGAAGTTCGCTTGTCGCCTTAGAAATTATGAGAGACGGTAGTTGGTAATTCTGCTTCTTTTGGTTTTTTTTTTTTTTTTGTTTTGCTTACAAGTTGCACGCCACAGCGCAGTGTTTATAACTTTCGGAGCTATATATTAGAAAATCGCTGAAAAAATTCAATTTCCTCACTTCCGTTAAAGGGCGCTACTCGAATAATGCGATAAGCACAAGCGATTCTAAAACCCTTATCAATGACGATCAAACCTGTAATATCGCACAAAAATTGTAATTACGGAATAGTTTTTTTATTGTTGTTGCAGTTAAGGATATTGCTTTGATACGATCGATGCCATATTTCGATTCGATTATTGTCTATTTGAGAGAGAGAGAGAGAGCCGATATCGGTCTTCACGTGACTAAATTTATCCTCGATAATATAGAGATAATGAAGATAATAACTATAAATAGATTTGAAATGCACCACAAGAGATTATATTCCTGTGCAATAATGAAGAATAGTAAATACTAAGGATGAAAATATACATTTTATATCGTTTTATTATCGTATCATTTTTCGCTGATGAATTGTGGCATTTAATTTCGCCAACTGTGTATATAATAATTATCATAAAGATGTATTCTCATCTAAAATTTAAAAAAGTTCGGTATTCGCATATTTTTTAATTATTATTGTTTTAAAAAGAAATTTGTATGCGTTTAAAAAATGTAAAAATTTCATACACATAAAATAAAAAGTAGAAATAATATAAATTATAAATTCTCTAATAAGGTCATTCTCTTGTTTCTTTTTTTTTTCTTTTTTTTACTAAATTATTCATGAAAAGTCCAACTAATATGGGGATGAAAAATGAGACTAAACGGAATTATTCTTTATTACCTGTGCTCGTCTTTAGCTTAATAAATAACAGGCCAAGAATTTAATATATTTATATACTTTTTACGAAAATTTAAAATATTAATAATATATAAGAAAAACATATTGTCGTTATTATTATTATGTATATCTGTTCATTTCATCGTTCTTCCTCTCTTTTACCATTAACTCGGATAAATGAATTATGAAATAAAAATAAAGTTTCAATTATAAAGGTCTATTTGATGATTAAATAGCAAATAGCGAATTAAATTTTAAACGTTCACGATGAAAATCTTAATAAGAACTACGATAAGATATTCGAGTGGCAAAGAGTAAAATCCGAGTAATATCGCAACTTTTGAAGATACGCTATCATTATA